CTAAATCGGATTTGTTAGTCATAGAATCGTTCATCATATACCTCCAACTTCATCGCAAAAGATAATCCACGAAATCCTGATATTTTGAAAAAGATTCGCGAACGCATAACATCATACATTTTTATTAAGCATCTTAATTAGCAGATAGCAGAAATTTAAGTAATATAAGTTATTGCTTAACATTTTTAACAAATTATATAAATATTTTCATTTTTAACTAAAATTTCTAGTGAACTTACACATATATTCAAATCAGTTCAATTTTTACAAGAAATATGTTTTTTTTTAAGTATGAAAAAAATTAGTCTATATTTATTATAAATTTAAAAAAAGATATGATGCCATGAAAATAAAAGATAAAACCAAATTTTAACGATGAAAAAGACTTTAAAGTGAAACAACTTTAGAACCTTATGTATAATTTTAATACCCCCTTACCGAACATTAAAAACAAAGAAAGTTACAAATTAATTACAATGAAAACGCACAAAAGAATTATGTAACCAATTTTGAAGTAACATTGTATTACTGATTTTAGATTTATTATTAATAAAAATTATATTAATTTGAATAAGAAAATAAATTGAACGTTCAACGTTTTTTTAGCAGTATGGGAGAAGAAATAATATTAATATAACTATAATTTATAGCCTAACCATATGTAACCTATTGATTGCAGTTTATCTGACATTTGTTATGACAGATTGTCATGTATACCAACTACTACTATTCGTTATTATGAGATCTGATACATTATCATCATCATGAAAATAGTAGTTGGTACACCTCACTGATAATTAAGTCTCATATAACGCATAGTGTTGACCTAAGTTCTAATGAGCAACAATAAAAAGATGTAAATATATATTTAACAAATTAATATGGTTATGTTATTTTTGTATTTATTTGCTTCATATTGTACAACACGAATTCGTATGAACACTATATTTTATAGAATCCAACTGGAGCATACGTCTTGTTTTATTAATTTACGTATTCAACGAAATCCTATATTGCCGCAGTACACAGTGGTGTATGATCCATACACCGATATTGTTATGCAGACATAACAGAGTCACGCTTGAGTCTTTCGCATGATAATCCGATGTCTGAGACGAGGTTCAATGTGTGAAACGAAAGTTCATGCATAATATTGGACCGTAACTACGAATACTAGTAGTGATAAAAGTTTTGCTATCTGAGCGCCTTTCTTCTTTTGCAATATTTGTTTGCATTCGGATTCCTCCCGGTTCTCTCTATCTGTTCGGAATATTGAGCTGCCGTCTCCTTCGAGTCAGTCGCCGCCTCCACGAAATTCTGTGGCACATCGATTTCTGCATATCAATACAAAAAAGGAAATGCATCTAACTCATTCATTTATTGCATCACCAAGTTATAAGCCAATATCGATGGTAATATGCCCGTTCGCTTATCTTCCTTTTATGCAATTACCATATACAATATCTAATCATCTATTTCTTGGGATCAGATCACAGATGGTTATCCAATTCCAATTCGCCGATGCGATCATGCCTTCTCCCGGTGGCGGCAGCGATACGATGGGATAGATATATTAGCCGATTAGGTCACCCTTCTCCATGTGCGTCTTATTTTTTTACGACTTACTTTACACCATGTGTTTGTCTTAAAACCCATCGACAATAATTTATCTCGGTTAGGGATATTGATAGGTATCTACCTTTGTTTAATCAATTCACACTAGTCAATATTATCTATTTTATATATTAGTCTTAAACATTTATCAATGCAAGAAGAGAACATCAACAATGATTCATTCAATCATCATATTATATTAAGATTCTTTAAAATTTATATTTGCAAACAATAACAATCTCTCAGGTCAATGTTTGTAATTTTAATGTGTAACAGCTGTTGATGCTACTAATAAAATACAAAATAATAATATATTTTACCATGGTATTAGTTATATGCTTTCAGATACGTTTATACTTTTAGTTATGATGCATCTATACCAGTGGCGGCAAGTCTATTTAGCCCAGAGGTTGCCAAACTGTTTTGTGCCGTAGACCCCTTGCCCATGTTTTTCGGTTTTAGGTAGACCCCTTACTTAGCTGATATTGATTTTTTGTAAATTTATTATTTAAATTGGGACATCTTTATAATAATTAAGATCTTTGCTCTGACACTGCGCGTATGCTTGTAACAAGATGATACTGGTATATCATTATGTGCAGGTTTTTACAAGTTCAAAATGTATTGCGACCTCAAAGCAAATGCCTACATCCTACAACTTACACAATTTTATAAACATATATAATAAATGTTTTACTTCATAGGTACTTTTATAAATAATGTATATGTCTTTATATTATAAGATAGTATAATGTAAGTAAATAGGTACTATCAGTGTATGTTGAGATTCACTATCGTGGACCCCCATTTTCATTTCATGGACCTAAAATTATTTTTTTCGCTGACGTAGACCTCTTGCAGGTTCTCATAGACCCTTGGGGGTCGATATAGACCACTTTAGGAATAACTGATGTAGCCTCTCTAGCATACAATGTCAATTTTGTACCGCATAAATCGATCCTTGTCTTTTCAGAAATTTACAATTATGTTAAATATTGCTAATTCCTACTAAAAATTCTAACGAATCGCCACTGTTTATGCTCTACTATGACATTTGATATGACAGCTTGTCATGAATACCAACTATTATTAATATTATAAATTGAAAAGGTGTCATATGTTGCTACATGAATGTCAGTTGGTACTCCTGATAGATAACATTAAGTTTTGATACATTAATGTATCATAGAATGTTAACATAAAGATTTGATAATAATATAAATATGATAACTGTTCTCCACGTGAATTAATACGCAGAAAATAACCAAAATATAATAGCTTTCTATTTGAGTATTCAAACTTAAAATCTAAGTTTCAATAGTAAAATAATGTAAGTCTTAGATCATACCTATTAATAATACTGTATACCAGCGTTTCTCAACGTTTCTGCGATGAGACTCAACATAATTATTTGTAGTTGTGCAGAGCTCCAATTGCTAAGAGTATTTTACCAGTTCTTTGAAAAACGTTGCTGTTATTGTTTAATTTGTTTCTGACCTGTATTTTATGCATCCTTTCTACATAATATACAATAACCTTATTCTATACGCTTTTAATTACAGATATTATTATTAAATTCTGGGTCTAAGATAATCTTAGTTTATTGAGGCACTTTCTATTGTAAGACACATGCTTCAACATAGTTAAATTCAAATAACATCTCGTTGATTGATGTTATTTCTTGCATGTTAGAAAGCAAGTTTAGGATCTCCATTGTTGCATGCACATGGACAGTTCCAGTGTATTGCTTGAAAGAAACATACATTCTTGAAATATATAATTTTCTGTAGTTCATTTTCATATTTCATTTACCAAGTAATGTTTCTTGTCCAATTGTTAAGAAATACTTTGTACAAAATGGATGTATTATTACTTTATCTTTCACTTATTTACTTGTGCAAGACTAATCGTTGATTTCAGTGTCTATTAATCGAATCTTTGTAATTATAAATTAATTTGAATTTCGAGATTTATCATTTTCTAATAAATATATTTGATGATATATCATTTCTAATTAATTTCTGAGATGAAATTAGTTGTTGTTTTATGTATTTATCAATATTGTAGTCAAGTTTCTAATTAGTGTTGTTAATTTGTTCAAAGTTCATAGTCGAAGTAATTGAAATGCTGCCCTTTTCTTTGCTACTTTTTATTGGATTAGGTTTGGTCTGGAGTTTTTTTAGAGACTTATACTGACATTGGGTTCTGTTTTTTGTAGCATAAATTCTGTGTTATCGTCGCCAGACGAAACTTCGTCAGACTTTTTTTTAGTTCGTCACCTGTTTTAGTTTTCACTTCTTATGTGTTAGGTCATTCTTGTCTCGTTCTTCTTGTTTTCTACGTCATAAAAACAGCATTTACATTCATTTGTCTGATAATATCTACAATTATTTCGAAGATTAAGTAACTTATACTAACTTGTAATTAAATTTAATTGAATCATTATGTATACTTATATTTTGTACTTTATATTATTAAATTGATAAAGATTTTTATAGACAAAACCATATTAATTAAATAAATATTTCATTGTTATTTGATAACAACATGTGTACTGAAAAAAAATCAATGACAACTTTTTAATATTTAATTGTATGCATACTCGGTTTTTACAAAAAAAATAGCGTTACCTTTGCTATAAAGGTATTTTGTCGAATGTTATGATTTTTGTCCTATTGAAATTTGTTAAATGTCAATTTTTAAAAATTTTGTCAAACATTTATAAAGGAGCAGTCAATGAAAAAATTTAAACTTAATATGTTTAATTTGTGATTAATTAGTAATATTCATAAATACTTAATTAATATACGAGGTTGACTTTAAAGGAATCAAAGTATTTTGTTTCAAATTGAATGTAATGCGAATCTAGTTCAACACTTTTAGATAAATTACTATCATTTAAATGTGACATGTACATGATTAAACTGTAAGTCTATTCGAAAGTCAGGTTTGAAACGAATTAATCAACGAACAAGACAAGTGTTGCTTGTGCAAGTAATTGAAATTTAAACGCTCTTAATTTGTGATTTGTAATAATTATTCATAGTGCATTTTCATTAATATACAGTCTATGACGTGAAAACCTAGATATTAGTTAACTATTTCATTATTTTTTTGCTATATATGTATAATTTTTAAATTATATCATTGATGGACAAGAAGAAAAACAACGTTTCTAGAAAGAAGGAAACAGACAAAAAAATAGGAAATTAATGGAGTAATTAGTAATTATTTTATATTTATCTGCTTTCTTTGTAGTAATAATTGTAAAAAAAATATTTATTTTCAGTACTTGTATCTGGAAAAACGTATACTTGCATAAAAATGTAAGCTTATTACGTCTTATAAACTTGTTACAAACTATATAATAGGAGTTTCAAACTTACCAGTTGGAGGAAATTCATAAAAGTAAGCGGATCTGGGACTGAGACAGCTGAAACATTTACAAAAAAATAATAATATTAAAATATAGCATAAAATATTCCATTTCCAATTAGTTTTGTAAGCTAATGAAAAAATACATACTTAATAATTAGTAAATTTAATGAATGAAATTTTAATTCGTACTAGCTTACATTTATGAAGTGATCAAATAATTCTTAGATCTCAAAGTAAGGAAAGAAAGATGAAGGTCAATATTACATAATTTAAAACTGTAAGAATTATATATATGTAATATCGCATTTTCCTATATTTTTTTAAAATTTTGAAATGTGAATGGATCTTCAGATTAAAAACATACTGTCCCAACTACGTAATCATTAAGAATAAAAACATTTATAAGAATGATTGATGTTTTTTCTGTTCTCAAAGTTAGTAAAACAACAAAATATGTTCAAAGATGGCGGCAATACCACTGATACAATTTTAGATTGCTCAACTTATAGGAAGGAGACAAAGCTCACTACGTTCAGAGACAGTTTTATGGGTCGCATGCTCAACGAACAGTAAATTCTTGCTCCCTTCCACCACTTGTTTTTCTTTTCTTCGTCTTGTTTTTCACCGTCTCGTCCTGCTCCTGTTTTGTATATGCGTTTGTTATTATTTCGTATTGATATTCTGAAGTCGTCCGCAATTTTTATGGAGAGCGGTACGAAAGAAAACACTCGGAATTTATACGCAATTAATCATAACAAAACGGTTCACCCTTCAACGAACGAATAATAGGATTATCGGCATAAATATTTTTGTTTCGGATAATTATAGTATTATCAGTGCGCTGCAGAGAACCAGAATCTCTGTGCCGGCCGCAAAATATCAATACGCGAAACGGTTTAATGAACATTATTACCTTCGCCCGTTTCCAACCGGATGGTAATCTGCGGTGCACATCAATTTCCATTATCGTTGCTCTCCCTCTCTTTCACTCTTTCCTTTACCTCTCATATCTCTCTCTTTTTATTATAAATTTAAATCAAGGTTTATATGTGTTGATTTAAAGCGAACCAGAGGTATCTATCTACATAGAGAAATGAAAGGAGGAGAAGGAAAGAAAAAAAAGGTGTATAGAAAAAATATCGTGGAGGACCATTACTTACGTTTGGTAATTTTGCTGGTGCTGCAGTAAAAGGGGTTGATGACTTGTGGGTTGCGCTCCCATTAACCTTTGCTGCTGTTGCCTTACCATTTGCGCCCCGTACACTCCGTACCCAAATCCGTAGATCTCGTCTTCCTCTTTATCACTCAGACAGCTTGAGGGCTGCAACGGAATTAGATTTAATTAAATTACGCTATAAAATACTCGAATTTCTATATAACATTAGTCAAATATTTGAATTGCGGTCTCATTAAATTCAATTTCATTTACTTGGTCGAATTACATTAATGATACATTTTTTATAATCAAATTTAATTTAATTAAATTAAATTATCATTCAGATTTATTAATATGATTAAAATTTATTATTATTACGAATTAATCCATGTAAAATTATATCTCTCTAATGTATTGAAATAAATTAGATAGTCAGAAAACATCATCAATTTTTACCCATTGTTTAAACATTTCTAAACCTTGGTTCATTGACAAGTAAAGCATTTTTTGCTAATCCACAAATTTTAATTCCATAAAACTTTACAATCATATGTTCATTGTTTTGATAATTTTCAGACAATCAGAAAGTATCCACAAACTTCTTTCTTGCACTTCTTAAATATGTCTAAACATTACTGAGAAACAGAGTTCTCATGCACATATGTACATGTACATTTTTGTACATATAAATTTTGATATTTTTCGCAAATTTCTTTTTAATTTTATCGCCTTTATTTTCTTTAATAAACTTCCTTGCTTTGGTTTATTATCATAACATATATTGTTAATTGAGACAAAGCTTTTCATTTGTATTTTTAACTTTGGCAACAATTTATACCTCATTGAATCTATGCTTTAAGGCCAAAGGAGGTCATAATAAGTATTAGTTTGAATTATTTAAAAACAATGCCAAATAATAAGATTTTCCTAAACTTTTTATCTTGTTTCAATTAATCTGTTCGATAATGTACTTGATCTATTTGAATAGTCTCTGAAGTTTGACATATGTCTCTTTCAAAATAATTCAAAGATACATTTTGATTCATTGCAATTTTTATTCTCCGATCTATTAGATTTATATCATCATTATTAGTTTGTTGCTATATTTTGAAAGGGACAAAAAACAGATAGAAAAACTATATTTTTTGTTGTAAGATTTCATGTCTATCTATACTATAGATTCTGTACAATACATTTATAAAATTATTAGTTTTATCTTATTTATGTATGTTGCTTGAAATTATTTACATTTATCCATTATATAATACGAATATTTACAATTATATTACTTATATTACATATATATTACATATATACGAATGTATATGTACACTTTTTACGCAATCATTTTAGCAATAAGATTAAAATTATATATGATTAATATACAATATTTTTTTTCATGATTGTAATAAATAAAAAACTAAATTTATTACAACAATTTTAGCTCATCATAGTAATAACTTAATGGTTGTATACTAAATGCGAAACCTAGAAGAATATACAAATAATTAGTATTATATTTAAATGATTAGTTCTAAATGTTCTCATTTAGAGTTTTGATATATGAAACCAACTGTAACGAGAATAAATGTGAAATTGTACTCCAGGAAACCCACTTACTTGATACTTTCCGGGGACATAAATAGGTTGAGATTGTGATGAGGTGAGGCCGAGTATTGAAACAGGTGCTCCAGAAACCGGACTGTACGCCTGAGGTGGCGTTTCAGGCGTCACCGCCACACGTTCTCTAGGAGACATGTCCACCCAATCCTTTCTCCTGAGATCTTCCAAGTAGCTTAGGACGTCGCCGTAGTGTGTACTGAATAGGTCCGCGTAACGTGAAGCCAACCCTTCCAAATATCCTCTATCGCCATCCTGAAACAAAGAAAATATAACAATTTTAATTCATTAATATAATTATAAATAGTCTAGGAAAAATGGGTTATTTGGAAGAATGATTAACATTTAAAGTGTAAATTTTTTTCATATAATAATTGAATAACTTTTAATTTTTTTAAGATTTATTCCAAATATTCTTCAAGTTATATAACATCTACTTATATCATGCTTTATATTGTTGTATTTCATATAATAATTAGGTAATGTATACTAACTATATAAAGTATCAAATAAATGAACTATTTAAAATTGGTATATCAAATACTTAATTAAGCAAAGACAGTAAAGGAGGTAAAAATCTCAAAATCTATGCAATATATTTCTATCTTGAAGTTAGTCTCGTGTCACAGATTCAGCGCGCGCTGCATATAATTTATGGGCATTTTGTCGGAAAAAAAGTTGTGAAGAAAGAATAGGTGGTGCAGGTCGAAATTCTAGTTAAATTAGATAGGAAAGAAGAGATTGCGATTGCAATTGCAATCTTTCGATTCTCATTTTGGTGATTTCCTAAGCTCGGGGTGGGCAATAAATTTCCGCGAACCGATACAGGGCCCCAGGGGCGAATGGGTCGGAAAGACCCCGCACAGATAGGATTACTCCGTTGGTTCCGGTCTAATAATTTTCCAAAACGGGAACAAAACGTATTACACGATTTATCGCCGGTCGGATAAAAGTGAACGCCGCCCTTACTTCCTTCCTCTCTCTTTTGTTTTTGTTTCATTCCATCAGGTTGTCATTATGCTGATCGTCAATACTCTTTGAGCGAAGAGTATGATGCATCCGTCGAAAGAATCAACTTGCACTAGCGCGAATCGCCTCAGGTAAATGGGTATAAAACCGGCTGTAATTAATGCGCACAAAGGGCTCATCCTTTAACATTCTATGAAAAGTTTCCAGAAAGTTGTCGCATGAAGAGGATATGTTTCATTTCAGCCAGAATTTAAATAGTTTTACTACACAATATTAAATATATAATGTTTCTATTTTTAATATTTTATGCTTTTATCCATTATTTTTTGTGGAAAATCACTTGAATACTGGTATTTAAATGGAACAATAGTTCAAATGTCAAAATTTAGTTTTGTATATAAATTTTATTTAGAGTGTGACAATTATTGATCAATTGACAGGAGCAATATCCATTTCACTAATTACTAATTATATATAATATTTCTCTTTTTTTTTGATATTTTATGTTTTTATCCATTATTTTTGTGGGATATCATTTTAGTAGTTAAATCAAACTATGGTTCTGTCAATTAAATATGACATATCAAATGTCAAAATTTAATTTTGTTTATAAATTCTAGATGGAGCATATTAGATTAATTGACAGGAGCAATATGCCAATCCATTTCACTAATTACTAATTGA